ATATATATATAAAATCCTCTGTATACTTATTTGAGAGTGAGCTCCTTAAATCCAATAGGGTTGATAAGGTCAAGGATTCTCATTTGAGGCAACCACGGGGCAAACAGAAACCAGGGTTGTCTTTATTCTGTGTTATACTTCCTTCCTCCCTCTTCAGAAACGCCCAACATCAGCTCTGGCTCCTCTTCCTGCAGGAATGTGGCCCCTGTCATATTATCCCAAAGTGGCCTTCGACCAAAAAATAAAAATTCGCCTTGATGTGCACCCGTAAGGACTAGAAATCCCATCCCCTCTCCTTTTTAGGATAATAAAATAGATTTTGCATCCTAGAATCAGAGAATCACAGTTGGAGGAGACCCCAAGGGACGTGTAGCCCAACCCCACTTGTATTCTGGTGATGTTATCAGGGTTTCAACCTAATGCGCATGGCTGCCTTTGGTGGGTCTGCTCTGAAAATAACTTATTTAGCTCCAGCTCTCTTGGTTGTGGGTCTTCCCCGCGAGCTGCCCTCCCTGCTCACAGCCCCCTTACTGAGAAAAAGGGGGAAGGTTTTTGCCCACCCTTCCGCTCCCCCAGCCTCAAATCTCAGCAAATTGCCCCCCAATTCTCTAGCAATCGGACGACAGTCCACATCTGGTTCTGCTATAAAGCTGTGGGGAGTCAAGGTAGGCCTGCCTGCGTTACTCAGCTCGGGGAAGTAAACACAGATGTAAACACAGCCCAGTCCGGGACGCCTCTCTTGGCCGAGTCCCAGGGCAAAGCAAACCTGTGAGGCAGAACAGGGGGAGCCTCTTCCGACTGCATCCAGCCGCTGGGCCCTCCAGCTAACTGCTAGCAATCTAGGATACAGACCTGGGGGGGTCGTCTAAGTCCAATCCCCCACAATGCAGAATTTTTTTGCCCGGTGAGACTCAAACCCACGACCCTGACATTAGGAGTCTCGTGCTCCTTCCCAGCCCTACTTGGAAGACACCCGGACTCGGACTAGAGATCTTCTGCTGCCAAGCCTCTGCCCCTTTGCTGCGAGTTATGGCACACTCCGTAATAATAAATTTAAGTTTCCAGTCCATTGTGTTTGGAATAAAGGGCTGATTTAAAGAGGAGTTTCTTCTGCAGGCTCTGCCCCTGAGCTCCACCAGTTCCCAGCTGCAGTGCTGCTGTGTAAATTATTTTTATTTATTAATAGCATTTTCCCCAAAGATTCTAGTCCTCACAGACGTGAGGGGAGGATTTAAATAAGCTGTCGCCTTATGCCAAGAGCACTGAGCTCAGCACAGTGTGTGCTGACAGCGTCTCTCCGGGGCTTCTGGCAGGAAGTGTTTAATTCCCACCTGGAAACGGCAGCAGTTGCAATCCCAAGACATTCTACACGCAAAGCACGTGTCCTATCCCTGTCCTAAGGTGCTCTCGCCAGAATCGAGATTGTGATTCTCGTGGCTCTAAGTGGAGGGGTGGTTTAAGTAGCAGCAAGGAAGTTTGGGGTGCAAGCCTGTCCAGTGTGCATGGGGGTCCTGGGTTGGCCAGACAACCCCCCCCTTGACCTCACTGATGGGGTCCAAAGGACAGAGACCACCCGTACTCCAGCCTTTAATGTTCCACTAGTCCACAAAAAGTCCCCCTTCTCCTACACAAAGCCCCCTTCTTAAGTTCCCTGCCCAAATGCTGCATCCTAAGGGTCTTCGTATGGCTCAAGTTCCACCTTTGAGAGGATGGAAGCTGCCAAAGGAGAAGTTGAACAAGAAGCTCAGGAGGAGGCAGGTGAGTGAGGACAGCCCTTAAGATTTATACTAGACCAGCAAGTCCAGTATATCACTTTACACGAAGACAGGCAACTAATACCAGTGTACTGGAGGAAGCAAAGATCACCATTGCCAAAGTGATGATTCTTCAACATCAACTTTGTTGGACTGGTCATGTTGTGTGGATGCCTGATGATCGCCTTCCAAAGCAACTCCTCTATTCCGAACTTAAAAATGGAAAGCGTAATGTTGGCGGTCAACAAAAGAGGTTTAAAGACTCTCTCAAGGCAAATCTTAAAAAATATAGTATAAACACCCGACAACTGGGAAACACTGGCCTGCGAGTGCCCCAGTTGGAGAACAGCCTTTCCCAAAGGGTCGTGGGCTTTGAAGACACTCAAACTCAGGATGTAAGGGAGAAACATGCCAAGAGGAAGGCACGCTTGGCAAACCCTCACCAGGATCAACTCCCACCCGGAAGCCTATGTCCCCACTGTGGAAGGACGTGGAGATCCAGAACTGGCCTCCCCAGTCACAGACTCACTGTTAAAACAGTGTTCATGGAATCTTACTCGGCTATGAGGGATCGCCAAAGAAGTGAAATCACTCACAAAATCAAAACCTTTCACTATCAGGTGTTGTCCAAATGCACTTATTTTAAGGCCATCTGTCTGTCTTTTATTTATTGGTACACAACTATCTCGTCTTTCTCCAAAAGAGCTCAAGGGCCTATTGATGCCTTCTTCCCTTCTACCCCTAACAACAGCCCTGTGAGGTAGGCTTAGAGAGGGAGAGACACCGACTCGAGGTCACCCCACCCACCCACCCATTCAAGATTTGAACCCTGGTTTCCCAGGTCGTAGTTCAACACTCTAACCACTACACTATGCTACCTATTCGTAACATTTGAGTTCTCAGAACTTGAATTAATGGGTTTCAAAGGGACACAAATTAGGAAATACTCAAATTTGGAGTCCATACTCCAAAACCCTGACCTTTTGTGCCCTAAATGTTCTGAAATGTTTCCAAGTTGTTTTGTTACAGTTACTTCGAAACTCTCTTACATGGTTTCAGAATTGTTTGCAATAAAGTTGCTTTAAATAGTTTTGCTTTAAACTTCCTAATGTTTGCCAGGGAAGGGCAGGCCAGAAAAACAAGGAGCCACCCGCAGAACCTTAAAATTACCGCTAAGCTGAATTTGAAGCTGAAACCTACCCCCAACCTCGCCAGATGGGCAGGGTATAAGTAACAAATTATACTACTACTACTACTAATAATAATAATTATACTGACCCAGAGCAACTAGACTGCTGGGCTTTTAAGAGGTCCTGAAATCTATCCCATATAACCAACGTCACCCCAAAAACACACACACTTCCCCCCAAGGCTGTGTCAAGGGGTTCAGTGCCCAGCCTGGGCACCAGAGGGCGATGGCACCCCACGCTTTTGGCCTCCCCTCAAAATTGACTCTGCAAGGCCAGCCTTTGCCAACCAGGCGCCCTCCAGATGTTTGCCTCGCCAACCGAGGGCCAGAAACATCTGGGAGGCTGCTTCTGAAGGGAAGATAAAAGCTCCAGACTCCCTCCCCGATACCACACTCTCCCAAGCAATAAGAAGCCAAACAGACAGTCTCTCTCTTTTTTTCCAAACTCCTGCACAGGATTTTTACTGCACAATGGAATGTGATGATAGATAAAGAGATAGGATATAATGGCAAACCTCCCCCCAAAAAACCGCAAGAAAAGAGGGGCATATTAAACATAAATATGGCGGGAGGAAAGACATGGTCTCTGGGGAGGAGGAGGGGGAAATAATGGAGGGCCGAGAGTGGAAGGCAGAGTCACATCTGGGCACGCTGCGTTTGGAGGGGGTGGGGAAAGAGGGGCAAAGTCCGGAGGGGGGGTGAGACTGGGTAATGGCAGCTGCGCTGGGTGGGAGCTTCCAAAAGCAGCCCCCTCCCCAAAATCCTGCGCCCCTTTCCTCCAGCAAGTTTTCAGAAAACGTCTCAAGTCCTCTGTGCGCGCGCGGCCCCAAAGGAAGTCTTGGAGAGGGGGGGACCCCCCTTCGGCGTCCGCAGCCATCCACCTTTGCATTGTCCGACGTGGTGGGGGGGCGCGCGGAAGAGGAGCCGGGGTCCGGAGAGGAGAGGCCGCCTCCCTCCCTCCTCCCCCCCCGCGCGTCCTCCTCCCGGCTCCTGCGCCTGTCCCGGCTGGCGGGGCGCTCAGTAGGCCGGCACCTGGTGCGGCTGCTGGGCGGCCGTCTGGGGCAGGAGCTGGCAGCCGCTGTTGACGTGGCTGAGCACCTTCTGCTTGAGCTGCGCCACCTGCTCGCGGAGCAGGTTGGCCGTCGAGGCCAGCTCCGTGTTCTGGCTCTTGAGGCTTTTCACCTTCTCCTCCAGGCGCGAGATGCGCTCCAGCTTCCGCCGCCGGCACTTGGAGGCGGCGATGCGGTTGCGCAGCCGCTTGCGCTCCGCCTTGATCCGCTCCTGCGTGTCCATGTCGATGGGCGACAAGGGGGGGCTGTCGCCGAAGCTGGCCACCTCGGGCACCGTCTGCGGCTCGTCCTTCAGCGGCGCGGGCGGCGGAGGGGGCAGGCGCGAGTGCGCCTGGAAGGGGCTCCCGTCCGTCGGGTAGCCCCCGGCCGCGCCGGCGAAGGGGCTGAGGTTGGCGTAGATGGGGGGCTCCTGCGGGCCGTGCTGCTGCGAGGCCGGGGCCAGGCTGGCGGCCGAGGGCAGCTCGCCCCCGACGGGGCCCCCGCCGCCGCCTCCGCCCAGCTGGTTCTGGTTGTGCAGGTCCTCCAGCGCCTTCACGAAGCCGGCGGCGAACTCCTGCTCGTCGGGGGCGCCGCCTCCTCCTCCTCCTCCTGCTCCTCCGCCGCCGCCTTTGGGGAAGTGGAACTGGGCGCCGCCGCTGGTCGGCGTGGTCGTCACCAAGCCGTTGGACTGGATGATCAGGCGCTCCAGCTCGGGAGACGCCAGCTTGAGCAGGCCCAGATCCGGCGAGCTGAGCAGCGCCGCGCCGTCGGGGGCGCCGCTGGGGGGCGGCGGCGGCTGCTGCTGCTGCGAGTGGGGGCCGCCCCCGCCGTGGCTCTTCCCGGCCGCGCCCGGGTCGAGCGCCAGGGAGAGCCCGTCTTTCTTCATCATGCTGGAGCCGTCGGGGAAGGCGCCGCCGGGGCGCGCCGCCGAGGGAGAAAGGGCCGCCGCCGACGAGGCCGCCAAGGCGATCAACACGTCGTCATGGTAGAAAGGAATTTCCATCCTCCTCCTCCTCCTCCTCCTCTCCCCCGCCGGCTGCGGAGGGAGGGAGGCAGGCGGCCGGATCGCGCCCGCCTCCCCTTCGACGACGGGCTGGCGCGCAACGGGCGCTTTGCGCAACGGCTCCTCCGGTGGCTTTTGCGGATCGGGGCTCCGCTCGCCCCCCAGACGCCGGCGACGACCCTCCCCCCGCCCCCTCGCCGACTGCGCCTCGCTCCTCCTCCTCCCCCCGCGCGCCTCTCTCTCTAATGCGCCGGCGAGCGAGCGCGCCCCCTCTATATAGCCTCCGCCGGCCGCTATGAGCTCACCGCCGACGCCTCCCATTGGCTGGAGATGACGTCTGAAGGGGAGGGCTGCTCGGCGCGGGGACACGCCCCCGTCTCCTCCCCCCTCCCTCCCCCGGGCGCGCCCCCGCCCCGTCGCCAGGCGACCCGCGCCGACAACTGCGCACAACAGCGCGCGGCCTCTTGGGCTGATGTCATCGCCGGGCTGGCCGCCGGTTGCGCGCCAAGAGGAAGGGGGCGCAGAGGGGGCAGCGCTGCGCGCGGGCTTGCATTGGATCCAGTTTGCATTGAATCCAGTTTGCAATCTCGATTGCATTGAATCCAGTTTGCAAGGGGGCTCCCTGCGCCCATTCTGTCTGTTCCCAAACTTCTGCGCCACACTTTGGGAATAAAAATCTGCCTGTGCCGCACCCATTCTCAAAATCGTTATTATGGATAAGAAATACATTGGAAAAGAAAAAGGAGCAGTTTCTAGCTCTTGCTGGATTTATAATGTAGAGCACAACTGCGTTGTAAAATGGCCATTCGGAAAGTATAAAACAATGCAGTTCATTGGGACATCATTTCCAAAATAAAATTATAAACGAGCCTCTTACATATGTGCCTTAAGTAGGTATACAAGCTGAGTGAGAAGTGTGAGCTCCCAGTATCACTTGAAGCTCTCATTTGGAAGATAATAGTAATAATAATAATATTTATTTATACCCTGCCCATCTGATCTGGCTGGATTTCGCCAGCCGCTGTGGGCAGCTCCCAACAGAATATTAAAAACACGATAAAACATCAAACATTAACCCTAAACAGGGCTGCCTTCAGATGTCTTCTAAAAGTCAGATAGTTGTTTATTTCCGTATTTTGCAAATAAAATAGATTTAGATACTATGCTATGCTACACTGTTTAAATGTTTCCCTACCGCCCAACAGCCGGCCTGGACCTGGAGAAAACCTCATCTCAGACTCCCCCACCCCGACTTCTCCAGGCAGGAAAGTCCGACCCCATCTCAGCCTGCATCTTGGGAGGAAAAGACCCCTTTGCCTGTGGGATAGGAGTCCCTAAGGCGGTTGGATGGCGCCTGGTCTGCCTCCTTCCGGCAACTCCTGCTGGGGCCCAACGTCTTGCTCTGCTTTCCTTTGGACCCCATCAGTGGGGCAGAGAAGAGGGTCTTGCCATCTGAGCAGCCCAGGACCCCCAGAAACATAACCCAGGCTTGCGCCCCAGGGAGATCACTTTGGTGCTAACACAGTAGTTCGACTTCACCCCCGGAGGTGCACTCCATTGTCTCTTGAGACAGATGTGTGCTGACAACAACTATATCTCACCTTTTCCTCCAAGGTACTGTATTTTTCCATGTATAAGACTATATTTCCCCTCCAATTTTTTTAAGTTTGAAATTGGCAGCCGTCTTATACACGGAATGTTGCAATTATTTATTTCTTAATTTGGGGCTCCAAAAATAGGGATCGTCTTATACATGGTCTTATACCCAGAAAAATACGGTATTTATTTATCTGAACTTGCTTTTATACATGCAACGGATGGGAAACCGATCGCTTAGGCCCGTGAATGTCAATGTCACTCCTCTGAGTAGGCTCTGCCGGAGCCACAGCCCTTTTGGTATGTACATGTTTCGATGCATTTTGCAGGGAGCGAAGATGTAAAAAAGAACGAGGCAGCCTCCTTAAAATGGTACAAAAATGAAATAAACGGTAGTGCAGCAGAGAAAGGTCAGGGAAGAGTTGGAGAAAGCCAGTGTCCTTAGAGAAAGCTCAACAGAGGGGTTACTCAGAGCATCAGGATAAGCCCCCCTCCTTGGCGCCTCTCTTTTGCCCCCCTCCCCTCCTGGAAGCCTATCAGGGCCTGCAGCGGAGAGGGAGGGGCTCCCCAGGGAGGGCTGGTGGGATGGGAGGGGGGAGGGGGATAACCCAAAGCAGATGTGCACCGCTTGGCCCCTTTGAGGGGGGGAGACCCTGCGCAGAGCAGCCTCTCCCGCCTCGAGAAAAGCCTGCCAGCTTCTGCCCAGGCAGCTGTCGGAAATCAGAGCTGCCCCTGTTGGGTTGCGGCCTGCTGCTTGCTCCACAAACCGCTGCAGAGGCAGGGGATCAAAGGGAAGTCAGACTGGGCTGGATTAGCCGCCCTTCCTCAGTCCGGCATCCTGTGTAGTTCCCATCAGACCCCGGGCGCACGGCCATCTTTTACGCTACGGCTCCCATCACAGAACGGAATCACAGAACTGAAGGGACCTCCAGAGTCATCTAGTCCAACCCCCAGCGATGCAAAAATAAAACAAAATCCACGTGCAGTGCTTTCTTTTCTGGGGGCGACGCAGGGGTGCACGTACCCCTCAACATTTTGTGAATCTTTGTCCTTTTGTCCATTTACTGTTTTTATTGCCTCCCGACTTGAACTATAAAATGGTGATTTTCTTGAGTCAAAATGAGACATTTTTTAAAGGAAAAAAAAACACTGTCCATGCGATTTGAATCTTCACTCAGCCAGAGAGCTCACCAGGTGCGCTTTGGGCCAGTCCCTGTTTCAAACCAGACTTACATCATAGGAGCCAACACAACACAAACCACAGTTGCTGCAAATAGGTTTTATTTCATTTGTTTTTTATCTTATACTGTATTTTGGAAATGTACATCCAGGTTTTTTTCCTTTTAATTTTTTGGGGCCACCAAGAGAGAGGGGCCCTAAGCTAGAGCTTGTTGAACTTAGACGTCAATCTGGCACTGGCTGCCCCCCTTCTTCATAGAGGGAAAGATTTTTCTACGCTGGAGCAATCACAGAGCGAGTCACAGGGCAAAGCTCATCTCAGGGTCAGGAAGCCTGGAAAGGATGTTTTCATTCTTGGTGCCACTGCAGCAGAGCAGAAAGGAAGGCGGGAAAGAGAGAAAAGGGGAAATGGGCCCGTTTTGCGACTGATCCCTCCCCTTTCCTGCCTCTCCGGGCAAAGGGCTTCCTGCTGCCCCCCAGCCTCTGGGGAAATGGGCCCAGCGGGAACCCCCAATTCCCCCCAAATCTGAACCCAAGAAAGTTGCTTACTACTGGCCCAGAGATGGAAAGAAGATAAAGTCCCAGCCAGAGATGAATGGCTGACGAAGATGATGGACTACGCCGAAAGGGCGAAAAGGACTGGGAAAATCAGAAACCAGGAAGGAATAAATTTCACCATTTATTTAAGAGAACGCTGTAAACAATTAAAAACTTTGGCAGGATTTGAGTAACGCTTGTAATATCTTAAAAACTTAGGTAAAAATGGACTATTTTTTAAAAATAGAGAAATTACGTGATGCAGTAGGAAAACTATTCCTATTAGCTGCTGACAGGCTTGTCCTTCCTTGTGACTTAGGCTTGTCCTTCCCTCCAAGCTGACCCGATCCCCCTCCCAAACCTGCCAGGCTAGCAGCCCAGCCCTGCATCTCCTTGGGGGAGCCCCTCACAGTTCCCTCTCCTTTCTGGGGAGTCAGACAGAGATTTTCATCTTTCCTTTTTTGCCGCATCTTCCCTCCGGCCCTCGACTTGGCAGGGGAGAGGAGCTGGCGGAGGGCTCGGGCTGCTGCGTAAGAAAAACAATTTACACCAGGGGGAGAGATTTAAATCGAAAGCAGCGCCAGCAGCGGCCTCTGTGGCGTAGCAGGTTTTTTAAGCAGCTCGGCTTGGGTGCCTGTTAATCTTGGCCTGGTGCGGAGCAGCGCTGAATCACCAGCTTGGCACATAAATATATTTGCATGCTAGCTGGGAGGGAAGGCAGGCCTGCGGGAGCAGCTGGGAGGGGTGTGGGCTGCTAGCTATGAGCCTGGCCCCCCCTTGGCTCCCCACTGAGGTCACCAGGGCCTCTGAGCCAAAAGGCTCTTGTGTGCGGCTCGGGCTTAACCCTTGCGAGCCAGAGAGAGAAAGCAATCTCTCCTGGGTCCTCGTCCGGCACGCTAACCACTGCTCCACACGGGATTTTGCAAGGATATTGTGCATGTTACCAGCTGCTGTTCCACCCCAGTCTGCAAAAGACGGTCTTACAAAGCTCAGAGGTGCCCTTGGTGTAAGTGCAGAGGCACTCTTGTCAGGGCCATTGCCGCAGGCCCGTCTGCAGATTGAGTCCCACCCTTTTAAAAAGTCAGCAATGCCTGAGGGGCAGGATGGGGAAAGATAAAGAGGCGAGCCTGACATTCCTCCCCCTAACAGTCCTCCTGTGTCTTTGAGAGCCGGGCGACAGGCAGATATTCAAAGGGTGAAGTTCTTGCCTATCCACCATGCCGGAAAAAAGCTTCGCCTGGTAGATTTATTCCTTGCTGTTGTTGTTTCACAAATGCCTAAAGTGCGTCACAGCCTGAAGTCGTCAAAGAGGTCTACACAATATAAAAATAAGGTGAAATGAGTCAACATGATTACTGTATTTTTCTGTGTATAAGACTATATTTCCCCCCAATTTTTTAAGTTTTAAATTAGGGGTCGTCTTATACATGGAATGTTGCAATTATTTGTTTCTTAATTTTGGGCTCAAAAAATAGGGGTTGTCTTATACATGGGGTGTCTTATACACAGAAAAATACAGTATTTTATTTTTTTAAAGTAGAAAGATCATTTCTACGTACTTTTACATCCTGGCACAGCCAGGCCAGAGGTGTATAAAGAGGGTGGCAGAAAACAAGGAGATGGAATCCAACAGGTGAAGCATTCAGCAGAGACTTCACCTGTTGAACTTCTGCAAACTTAAAGAAGAA